TAGCATTATCTTCTCCAAACAGTCGGTAAATGCATCAGAGATAATGTCTACAAACACCATGTAACTTCTGGATTAGTAATTTAGATCCAAAACAGATGGCTAGAAAGCTCTGCCAGCGGATCTGTCTGCATTAAAGGATCTGTTGACAGAAGAACTTGATGCATTATTGCTGGTGTGAAAACCAAGTGACGAGATGTATACTGGAGCATAATTAAGGCTACAGTCTTAAGCTTTTCGAACTTGTTGAATCATTTTGACACTATAGAAACCATGATAACGGACGATGGCATGCAGTCGGTTAGCTTGGCATTCTATGGGTTTCACAAAACAAAAATTATCCAACATCTATTGTCATCTTCAAAAGACGAAGATGAACATTAAATAGATGTAAAAGTTGCACAATGTGGTAGGATTTAATTCCATATTAGATTTGTTTATTTGATTTATGACACACAGTGACATAGTGTTTTTTTCACTTGATGATGTTTCGAGCATAAATTATAATAATTATAATACTATACCACTGTGTGTCATAAATCAAATAAATCTTATATGGAACCGAAGGGGAACAATTTATAGATAGAATTCAGTATTTGATTCTGAAGAAGTAAGGATAAAGAAAAGGCAATATTATTGCTATAATTGTCAACTTTTTTTTCCGACCACTGCATACTTCATAGGGTACCACCGACAAAATGAACGTTCCCTAGAATAAGCTTCCACTCCATGAATGAAAGTTAGCGGTGAGTCGAAAGACACCATCACATCCTCCATCTGTTTTGCAAAGAAGAGGTGTTAGGGTGCGCAATGAGATTATCTAAACTATTCAAAGAAGCCTAAAATCTCTGATATCCTTCTCAGCCGATATTTTGACAGAAGATATGGGACCTAATGCACAAATATAAGAGTAATTGAAGAGACTAAATCAACAGGGAATATCTCCCTAGAAAAGCTTAGAAGTGACCAAGGATATACATACACTGCATTATTTTGTATATAATTTTACCTTCTGTTGTCTAATCACCTTGTCTGTTTTCCGAGGGATTTGTTGACCATCAAGGGCGGAATCTGAAGTTAATGTCCAATAGTTCACAAGTATATATCGAATTATTTCACCAAACTATCTCTTTTCATAATGTTATGACTGGAAAAACCTGGCATGATATTGAGTATGTTGTGAAAACAGCGATAAAGACAGTCGGTAACCTACATCCAAGGGCTCGAAAATGTCAATGGATTTCCGTAAGCTCATCCGAACTGATTGACGCAAGAGGACTGATTCCAGATGGCTCTGAGGACAATGAAAAGCGAAAGCAACTTAGACGTGAATTGAGTCTTGGCAATGATTGCGCGCAGTGGTAGGTGGCGAAAACAAGAGAGATGGAGAAAGCACCAGTGATAGGTGATATGCGGCAATTACTTAAGCTTATTAAAGTTCGTGGCAAGAAGAAGACGATGGTTAGTGAAGGTGTGATGGGCAAGTATTGGATGCTGATAACGTCTGAGGACAGGGGGCTAGAACGCTGGGTGGAATGCCTTGAAACCAAGTTCATTTGGCTCGCACCAATGCTCCACTTGCATAGAATCCAGCCCGGAGCTGAATAGGGCGTATTTGTCGGTCCTTGAACTGTCCTAAAAGTTGAAAAGGCTGTTTATAACATGAAAAGATGCAAAGCAGCTGCACCTAACTGTTTCTCACTAGAAAGTTTTGGGTAAGGAGATATGTAGTTAATGAGTGGAGCAACAGAGCTACTATGTAGTGAATGGGAATTAGAAGTAGTCCCGTCAAACTGGTATGTATCGCTAATTATAGTAGTTTATCGGAAAGACTAAAAATCTTCTTACTACAAAAATAGGTAATTTACTTTGACTAACATCGTGTCTAAGATCCATGGATCCATAGTTATCTAATATCTAACTGGATCTTGAGAATGGCATATATATATATATATATATATATATATATCCTAAATGTTATTTTTGGCATTGCTATGTAGTCCTCTTCATAAGTATGTTTTAGACTATTTGTTGTTCATTGTATCAATCCTTGTTAGTATATATTAGCCGATTCCTTCATTGAGCTTCTACTTGTTAAATTGACTTAGTTGAAATCAATTTGTTGTTTTAATTCGTAGCTTGATATAAATGAATGATGGAGTCATGAAAGATAATGGTTAAATGAAGTAATAGACCGAATCCGTGACTTAACAGCTCTACAGATTTTGGTTGGTAAAAATACTGATTTTAGTCTCGAGAGAAGTAATAAAGTGTACGGTTTCTTGTTTGTCAGCTTTACCTGTATTGTAGTAACCCTGTTGCATGCGCAGAAGCGCACATATTTCATACTTGAATGTGTAAAAAACGAGTATAAACTTCAAGGACATTGTTAAAAGATTTTTCTTTAAAGAACAGTACTAGTTTGTAATCTGCTGGTAAGTACGTCATTCCAAGTGCTTTCTGGCTTACTATGAGTGTCATGAGAGGTTATGAGCTCTAAATAATCTCAAGAATGAATAAAAATTCATTCAAATCCTATTATGCAAACGTCATTTAAAAACAATTATCAAAGTTAATTATCTTTTACAACGTTAATCTTTTTAAGAAAATATACTTCTTATTTATGAGTTAACTATCTTCGTCTCAAAATATGTGGCTGTAACTAATCTATCTAACCTTTAACTGATCACCATTTTAATCGAACCAAACGACGTCTGCTTCACCCAGTCATCTCTGAGCGAACATACGTGGTCATGAATCTGCACCATAAGACGTGCCTTATAGTATATCGGAATGCTAAGTTCTATCTAATTTTACTAGCTAAACTTACAGACTAGTTAGCCAGTTTTTCATAATAGTAAGAAGAACAATAATAAGGTGATCCACTAATCACATAAAAAAATGATTCATCAACTTCATCTTGTTGGACAATACATATTTTATTCGTGGAATAATCTAATAATTAATAACCTAAGCGATTAAACTAAATTCATATGATTAAAATTAGTTTACATCCTGGTTTTTTCAGAGCGTATGATAAAGTCTATCACTTTTGATCATTCAAATGAGTAGCTTAGATGAGGGATATTTCGCTGAAGTGTACATCTTTAAGTCCCTCAAATAAACGAATCTTTTACAACCTGGTACTTATTTCTAAACTACATTTTTTGGTATTCATATAGTGCTTTTAAGTAAGTGAGTGGTTTGCCTATTACTCCTACAAACCAATATCATTCAAAACATTACGGATGTCAGAAAACACTCAGCCAGTATTTCTAATTACCGTAATCAAGCTAACAAAGTCTTCAAAACTAAAGCTTAAATGGTTGTCCACTTTTCGCTGTTACATTACTTGACAGTTTAAACGTTCTAAATGGAGGGAAAAACTGTCTATTCCAGTTCGTATTCGTTGAATGCAGGTAACCAGTGCAAACTGTGGAAATTCGATGACAAGAAACATACTCATTATAAACCAAAGTGTTTCTGAGTGGACTTCGTAAATGATAAACATTTGGTAAAACTAAGGCATTTCATATAACTTTGAAACAGTCTGCAGTGCTTCATGGTCTCCGACGATTTTTCAGCTGGGGTCTCTACGACACATTTCTAAAGCATTTCTGCAATACCTACTTTCTGATAAATCCAAGTTATGTACAGTACTTAGTAATTTAGTAACACCTATTTTTTTAAATTTGATTTTGAAAAAAGGATGAGTCCAAGGATAAAAACAATATTCATTTTTATTTATTCACTTTCTAAAATATCTATATACTGTGTTAAATCATGTCTGGTAGGTAAATTGTTCAGCAAGAGCTTTCAAAGATGCTTCACTGTCATGGATTTGAAATGAAAGGGTAATTTTCCAAACAGAAAAGAGAAGTAAACAGACCTAAATATGATTCAATCATATTAATATATAATAGTGACGTTTGAATTTATGTTTTCCTGAAATTTATTTTCAGACACATTGGGTAGTGTCCCAAATGCGGATTTTCTGTATTTAAATGACAAACAAATAATGAATGGTATAGCGGTTTGGTCTAGTAACGCTGACGCTTCTTTATTGTGATACTGCTTCGGATAGGAATGCGTTACGATAAAGGGTAATAGGCCTGTATGCCTTTATACCACATGCACATATTATATTTATCTTTTTCAATGAAATACTGCAACACAATCACATTTATTTGTCTCGTCAATAACTTGTTGCTGATTCTCACCTTGATGACTCTAAAAATATTAGTGACACACTAAAAATGAATTGATGACCAAGAACCTTGTATCCTTTTTTACCTTCTAGCTTCAATACTCACATCTTAGATACATGTAATATATGTATCACCATGTAGATATCTCACTTGTATGGTGATGGTTAAAGGTGACGAGAAACTGATTCTGTCATATCTTTCCGTGGCTGCGGCTTATTTGTTTGCATGCTACCAGTCACCGATTCTAAACTTTTTTAAACTAAATAGTAACGCTAACCATTGTTGAACAGAAACGACTGATGAGTGGAACGCGAAATTGCAAGTGGTTACTGACTTGTAAGACCAGTAATATAACATAATGTTCTTGCTAACATTTAACGAAACTTTTTCTCGGTAAAAATAGAATACATTTAAGCATAAAAAGAAAAGGAAGTCGGTATGATAAGCTGCTTCAAGTACCACCATCACATCAAATTTTATTATGCATCGTTACTGTGAAATCTCTTTTTCTGTCGCAGTTAAAGGTTTAATCTTATGCATCTGTATTTTTCACCACAGGCTTTGATATACAACTATCTTGTGTACTAGTGATGAAGCTATTTACACTCAAATTTACCCTTTATTCATAAATTCTGTGCACGATTTATTACAACCTTGAACTTTTTTAAAATGTGTCATCAAAACACGTTTAAAATTCTTGTAAGGATAAGCAACCATTAAGATCAAAAGATATGTCATAGTGGTAACTGAGTTTTGACTGTTAGATCATTTTCATTTTACTGTTTGCTTCCACAGGTGATTGCTGGTTTATGTAATGGTAGCTTATCGATTTGGGATTTACATAATTATTCAAGCGAAATACTGATGAAACCAACAAATTTTGTAATTTATGATGATAATAATCCATGCAGATTTGGCAGTATTAATGGCTTTAAAAACTCAGGTTTACCTGTTGCATTTCCGCCAACATATATAACATCAGCTGTCGAAGTCACTGATTTCGCAACTATGAATGATTCTAAATCAGTAGACAATTTTTATATAAAACAATCCAGTCACTTCAATCCAATCATCTCTATTAAAATTGCTGATTTTAATCAACAACTGGAGTATTCCTCAGGAGTAATTGAAATAACCAAAAATGTAGACAGATTTCAATTCGTTGCGTTAGATGATGTTGGCAACCTTAGTTTGTGGTTAGTTCTGATGATCGGGGGTGCAAGTTACAGAATTCTATTGACGTTCTTGTTGGCTCTCAAACAGACTACGGTTTGTCGCCTGGTAAAGGTTGGATACGCCTAATTCGCTTGTTATTCATTGAAAATAAACTAACACATCATGTAAGTACAATGATTCCATTTTATTTTGATTCATAAGGATGACGATACTAGATAGGTGGCAGAAAGGAAGTGAAGAAACAGAAAAACTGATAACTAGTAAGATACAAAGTGTTTGTTTCACTAGTGATCATTTCATCTGCACGTTAATTTTCTCGGTAAATATCACTTTTATTTATATGCTGATTAACATGTATACTGCAGTTTCGAAAATAAAAAAGTTATACCTTCGGTACACAGTACATACTACCATATTTCAACATAGTCATACTTTTTTGGATTCCAAGAAAGGTTACTTGCTTTTAAGATCATCCAGTAACCAGATTTATCATGATGGTTTTGTTTCCAATATAAAAGTCAGATGATGACAAATAATGTTGGTACTGTATACGTTAACCTCCAATCATTGTTTCCTCAATAGCACTACATTAATCACTGGAAAATCTTTGACTTTAAGTTTGTCTCAGAACACAACAAGTGCAAACTTGAAAGGCTTTGTTACGCTTGCATATATACATACTCACAACTACAAAGACTGCAGCTGAGGGCTAATAAATTTCCTATAATTTTGAGGTCACGAGTACTTACAATGGTTACTAGTTCCTCAAATCAATCTAAGGCTAAAGATTCAACATTTCTCATCACAAGACGTTCGTTATGTTTGTAACTTTCATTACTGAAACAGTAGATTTAACATTTCCTTCAATAAGCGCACATCCAAGAGTCTATACAAGTTTGTAATCTTATTATTCTGAAGTTATTTGGACGTGGATGTTCGAAAACACAAAGAGGGTATGTACAATGATACAAAAGATATAGGGGATTAAATATGTTCGGCAAAATATTAAAAGTAGTATTTGTTTACACTGTTAAACAAATTAGTGCAGATCCTGCTACATAAAAGCACCATTTTACGCTGTAATAACTTACAACAGAAAGCAAGGAAGAGGTGAATGATAAAAGAGTGATACTGAGGTAGACAAATACGTATGATAAGAGAGGAGAAAATAAAAGGTTTGTGAAAATGTTCATTACTCGTAAGATGACAAATAATACATGAATTTACGTCACTGTCCCAGCTATATAATAGGACAGAGAGAACCGCAGCCGAGTGTATTCGTGTTTTTTTAAGTAGTTCGATATATGACCAGAGATGCTGCAGGTTAGCAAAATGTAAAACGAGTCTTTTGAATCTGAGCTGAGATTTAATTAGTAATTTTTCAAGTTGACATTCATCATGGACTGACATCAGTTGGAGGAACATTGGAAACCTGGGAACACTGGACAGTCGTTTCGTCCTAGTATGGGACTCCTGGGCAGCTCGCACCCATGACACTGCTAGGGGTCGAACCCAGAACCCCCATGTTCCGTGGCCAGCCCGTTACCTTTGAGCCACCGGGTCGAAATTCAGTGGTCCATATTTCCGAATTCTGTCATTGGTGACTAGCTTCGACAGGTGATTCCTGAAATTCCAACAAGAAGTCGTGACCTGTGGGGAAAACCTGGTGGTCATGAGGACAAATACTCAACGATGACATCGGATGATGGTCGCGCTATGTCATGAACTGACAGAACTTGAAAGTATGGACCACTGGATTCCGATCCAGTGGCTCAATAGTGATGTGCTGGCCACGGCACCTGAAGGTCGTGGGTTAGATCCCTGGTGGGGTCGTGGGTGCGTCGTGCTGAGTGATCCCACACTAGGACGAGACAGCTATCCAGTTATCCCAGATTTCTAATGTTCCTCCAACTAACGTCAGTCCATAATAAATACCAACTTGAAAAATTACTAAATCCTCACAAACCCCCAAGTTCAATTTCATTAGAAATGAATCATTTTGGGCTGATGACACTCTCTAAGTAAATGAAGTAGTCAACACATTTCCCGCTTCGTTCCATCTCCTGAAACTTGGAGTCAATGAGGAAATAAACTGTTCGCGTTGACTTAGTTAAAAATATCATAAACTGGGAGCGAAAATTGCTTTCAGTTCACTAAAAGCTTGGTGGGTGCCCATAGTTATCAGTACAAGACTTTTGTTTATAAAGTCAGTTATATTCGTTTCTTTTGGTTCTTCTTTTTTGAATCCATCAAAATATATAAATTAGGCCTCTACAGAGCTAACTTTTCATGCCATAACAACTGTATCCTTCAATTGTGCTAATGGATATCGTAAATATTAGTTCAATTTTGTCGGAAAGCAGGGGGAATTATTTTAAGTGTATAACAAAACAGCACACATACAAAAGCTCCTACTGTCATTTTATTCACAATCTTTTCTTCTTCTACATGAATGTGAGACATACACGTGTATTTTGTACCCACTAACCAAATCGGTGTATCTAGGGAAACCGAACTGTTATGCAGTTGTTAATAAAAATTTATGTGAAAGATTTATTTTCTAAGACTGTCCACCATACCAGTAGCGATGGAGTTTGTAATGAAGAAAAGTTATGAGGCGAAGGCGTATACCATTAAAATGATAAGCAATTCATCGTCATTAACACGACAGGCAGTGCTACTCATCTTAACACCGATTTCAACTTCTAACTTGAATGACTATGTTCCTAAGCAAAGAGAGGTTTTCTTTGTTCTAAATCCGATATCACTAACTAAGTGATTTTTATTGCTAACCGCTATCAACCAAAGAATTATAGAAATCCCATGAGTGCCAGACATCTATTTCATTCTAGTTTGGAACTCGTCCGTAGTGCACATTCACTAGTCCACAAAGAGAGGAATCCCAAACTGGGGCGAAGTAGTTTTCTATTGCTTCCAAGCTTTCAATGGTTCTCTGACTGATGTCAATCCGTGATGAAAGGGAATTTGAAACCACTTGACTTCCTACGAACCTACGAATTTAATACCTTTTTGGTGAACTTAAAGTAAGGGAAGTTTATACCTTATTATTAATGGTGTGTAACTGTCGACAAAACAACACATGTGGCAAACGTGACGTAAATTTAGTACAGACTTTTAGCTGCACTGTTTTTATCACACAGAGACTTAATTCTAAAATTGTTGGTTAGTTTGCAGTACTGTAGTAGCTGTATACCTCGGTATAGCTAGATATATATAGTCTTTTTGTAGTTTGATTACAGCTATTCTTTGTGACAACGCATTCACCTGTCTTTAAAGTAACTGCCATCCTGCATTCGTGTTGGCATGATTATGACTAGTGAGACTAGCATTCTGTAATGTGTTTCCTACTTGATGAAATCCCACTGTCAGTTTCGTATTCCTGTTGTATCTAGTACCATATTCCCAATCATTTGGTTGCAAACAACTACAGTGTAGAAGTACTGTTATGTAATTTAAGGCTGAAAGGGTTACCCTTGTATACTGGTAGGATAGATACTTTAGTTACTTCAAAGAATTTCCGTCTTGTCATCAGTTGATAGATTTGGAGTAGTCAGAATCGTTATCTGATTGTTGGGTTTATCGGCCAAATCGGTTAGCTATTTACATTATGTTCTTGAAGCAGTAAAATGAATTCAACGTGTAATTTGCTTCGACCGACAAAATTGAATTATCTGACTGAATGACACAAACCATTAGACTAATTGACCTTTTAAAATAAATATCCAGTCGCTGTTCAATTTCGTGCTCTTATGTTGACAATAGATTCTATAACCTCATTCTGACCTTTTATTATAAGTGAACTTTTCTTCTTTTCAGCATTTATTTTTATCTCAGTTAATCTATATACTATTCGTCCAAAAAGATTAGATATTAATCTTATCAATCGACTTTTATCTTTTAACCTTGAGCTATAGCAAGTTTAGTAAACTGAATTGTTATAGTATTTCTCGTAAATATTAATACAATACAGTATTCAGCACTAAGTAGAGTAAATTTAAAGGCCAACATTGCAGTCAGTCAGACCCCTTTATTTCTTCTCTAATAAAGAACAGCTGTACTTAGCGGTGTAGAAGTGGTACTAATCTGTGTAATCACCGACTGTTCACCTGAGCTTTATCGGTAACTGCAGGTCACTTCGTTGTAACCTTTGAGTTCTTAGGAATAAATGACTGGAGACTGTTAGTGAGATAGTGCAAGATAGATCACAATACCAATATTTTGTTACTCTTCTCTGATAAAATTCTATCTTATTAACCTCTATCTGTTTGTTTATACTAGCTTGTCTGTTCGACTATCTTTCCAAATCTTATACTTTTCTTACTATGGTGTAACCAAGCCTAGCAATTAGGCGGGATGCAAACCAGCTGGAAGTCTTACATTTTCTTGTTTGGCACTCGTGTAACTTTAATTTTCAAAAAAATGCACACAATCTCTTTGGTGCATATTTCATGTGGTATCTCGTTGATTGATAGCAAGTGCCCGTGCATTATTTACTGCTGATCGATTGACGCTGATCACTGTTCTTACCTTCAGTCTACCATTCAGGAAATGCTTAGAAATCCTTTCCTCTGCTTTGAATATTGAGGCTTCGAAATAGAGATGATTGGTGAAATGATAGCTCATACGTTCTAATAAATTTAATAAAATGACGTTGAAAGTAAATAGACTCCAGATAGTCGTTACATCTCACACAGTCTTGTAATTTCTAGATGTTTATGATGAATTAAATATGTGGAAGCAACGTGCTTCAATTTTATTTTCTCATTTGAAGTTATGGACACTTATATGGATAAACATGCTAACAAATGTTTAGATGTGAAGAGACATTGGACACAGTGGAATTAAGTCAAGGTATTCTCGAAACCGATAAATACTTTTGTCAGACAGACTGATCCATTCTTATTAAAAGCGTTAGATATTAAGAACAAAGGTGCAAAGATAGTCTAAAAGACATCAGTGAAGCTGGTTGACTAATAAAATATGATTCTATGCAAATACAAATGGCTCAATTGTTTAAGGAGATGACTTTCAACCAGTGGATTGTGGGTTCGAGCTCCGCTCCACCTAACGAGGTTTGGGCAGCCAGGTGCTATCATCAACCCTCACACAATAGTATGGCTCACTGCACGAATGTGTAGAAGGTTGCTGAGTGCACTTCGATTTTTTTCGCGAATTCCTGATGTGTAATTGTAAAACTACCTATTATTTATGCCTCATTCATCGAACTTCTGACTTTAAAGCATTTTAAACTATTTTTAATGCTTCAAAAATTTTGGGATGACCAACATACACTTATGAAAAGAAATTTTAGGCAATTATTCTTCCTAGTTATCTGGTTTTGCATTCTTTTTCTAGGTTCCGACCTATTTAAACGAAAATCCTTCGAAATATCGTGCTGACAAACAAACAAACGAATCTAGTAACAAAACTATAGCAACTTGTTTAGCTGTGGCTAGACATGGAACTTTCTTGATTGGTTGCAGCAACGGTAAGATTGTCCACCGCAGACGTTCGTCTAGTCAAATAGTTTATCCTAAATTATTTTCAAGAATATTGTGTTGCGCTGCAGTGCAGACAATAGCAGTTCATCCAAACGAATCATTGCATTTATTTCTTGCAGGTAAGACGTTTTGATTTAAACGTTATCCACAATTTTTTATAATTTTTACAATGCAATATGATACTTAGTACAGTAAAATGTAAGAAACTTTCAATATTACTCATGTCTGTGTATCTTTCCTCATTAATTTTTCCAGTCTTTTTCAAACAAAAATAGTATTTGATACATGCATATATATGTAAGATCATTTGTAATCGTAAAAAAAGTTCTTCAGCTGTCCTCCCATCTTATTTCTATTGATTCGAGAGATGACTTGGTCAGAAAAGGTCATAGAGCTAACAAGAAATTTCAACAGTCTACCGAATTAATTACTACTTCTGATAGCCATAATAGCACAGTTCTAAAATGAATAAATATTACCTACCTGTTACGTTAAACCGATTTATGCAGAATTTGTTTAATTAAAAAATGTTTTCAAGATTCTGTCAGTTTACAAGATGATGGAAATGAAGTACCACCAGCAATGAGTAGTATAAAAGCATTATTACTCCACCAAATTAATGTAGGTAAACTAAATAAAAATTTTTAGTGTTAGACCATAATTTGCTGGAAGCCTTTTTGCATCAACTAGTTTTGTTTCCTTAGCTGTTTAAACTATCGGATAATTTCTTATAGGAGATACTTCTCAATTCTTTACAGTTAGTTTAGTTGCACTTAGTAATGCAAACATAGGTGCATTAATACAAACATCTGGTTACTTGCATGCAACAAATAGCAAAGGACAGTAACATAAAACAGCTGTTTATCTAATCTGCTATTTAATGAAAAGCATTCTGGCGAATTCTTTCACTTTAATCGAATATGCTAGACAGAATGCACATATGGGGAAATAACGTATGAAGGTCAATAGACATTGTAGTGTTTACTACTCACTGCATTATGATTAAGTGAAAGGTTAAAATGGGAAATTTAAATAGACAAAGAAAAACAAAGCCAAGGAACCAAACTACTTGGCTTGTTGTTGTTCTGTAACATATGCACTTTGCTTGGTAGTAACAAGACAGTCTATTTATGCTGAAAACTTTCCTGTTATAGATAAGTAAACAACCAAAACTTTAAGAAACTTTTGAACAAAGTCAGAGATATAGAAAACACGATGATTAGTTAATCAGCCAGTATCAACACAGGACCTGAAATTGCAGCATAATGGGCCAGGTTGCTACACTTCACACTACCAAGCATAGTGAATAGGATCAAGGTGAACTACAGTGAAATAAGTTACAAAGTAACTAAAAGTAGTAAAAAAAAGTAGAGACAGAAAGAAGTTTCAAATAACAGAGAGAAAGACGAAGAAGTGATAAAACAATAATAAAATTCATTATGATGACTTAGATGTAGACAATGTATGGATGCATCTGACCCGTATCGCCTATAGTCTCTAATCACTGTTTTCAGTTATCGTGCAGACCCCAACTATAAATTGTACACTGCTTTATATGGCTCAGACTTACAATCAAAGGCTTTATGGATTGATGGTATTTTCCATTCTGACAAAATCTAACCTCTTTCTAGCCTAAATCTACCTCAGATGACATTGCACCAAGAGGGAGACGGTAACCAAACTTCCCCAGCATATTTCTCAACTACCTGAGTTGATGAAAGTTCATAACCTGATAAAATGACTTCCCCCTAGAACTCTACACGTGACTTCTACGTTATTAACAGGGTTCCATGAAACACGGCTTTTGCTACCAACTCAAAGATGGTCTAACACATGACATCTCATTTACTTAAGTGTTAGTAGCCACATTTCACAGCCATATAGTAGAACACAGATAACCACTATACAGTACAATCAGCACTTAATAGGTGGTTGAGTGTTACGATAGTGGCATAGGCGGAGTAGGTTTACAAAGTCCAGGAGAACCTTTTGTATCCGTGCCAAGATTTCTGTAATCACTGCCCTACCAGGCCTATCCGACTTTTTTACTGTTGGACGAGGTTCCGATGCAGATCAATTTTGAAGCGATTCGTTACATTAAGTTGATGAGGTACGCATCTCAAATATTCTCGAACTCCCACTCAGAGCGTTCGAAAAACTGAATATTTTCACTGTCTTCACCCATCAAAGCCATGTTATTGTCTACCTACTTCAGGTCTGTAAAGGAATCTCTTGTAACAAATTCAATCCATGTGAAGTCAGATGAGAAGAGACATTATCACAAGCACATGTATGACAAAGTTAAATAAAGAAGTAGAGAGTAGACACCTTCGATGGACAGAATCTGATGTACACATCTCACATCATGCCTCACCATACGCCCTAACACGTTTACATGTGTTCGAAAATAGAGTGATTTAGTTACTTGGTACCCGTTTTATTGAAAAGACGGTATGGTAAAACTTCTTGACGGACAGGGGCACGTTCTGTCTTCAGGCCAAAATATGCAGCAAACTTTTGGTGTTACTATGCCGGTGTCCTGTAACCCGACAGAGGGTAAATATGTGGTCAACACACTAACAGAAAGATTTGAAACCTCCCTGGTTATCTCGGGTTTAGTGTTCTGGAGCTTCTCTTAAGCGTCCGCAGGCTATAGGACCTAGAATCTTGGGTAATTTGTTTTTTCAGTTGATTTTTCTGTGGTTATCATAAAGGAATTTCTGTCCTTCGATAAAAACTCAGACTATCAGCAGTTGTGACTAGTCCAGGTGGTCATATCTAATGCTCATTCTTTAGCTTAGAATCTAGTTAATTCAATCAGTTTTCCTCGACCACCGTCCTTAAATACGTCTGGAACTAACCCATCTGGTGGTATTGGCCCCCTTATTTCGAAGTTACCTACAGTCTTCCCAACTTCTGCAAAAGCTGGAGGACCCCCCTCAGAGTTCCATTCAAGATTTAAATTAACAACACACAACAGGAGAGTGGCCGCAGGTCAGTTGGACTGTTTCTCAAAGTTTTCTGCCCATCACTTTGATCGGTTTACTTGCAGCTAAATTTCTTACCAGTCCTTCTCCAATATGGACTCACTAACCGTTGAGCGTTAGCCTTAATTTCTTCGATCAGCCTAAATACCCGTCTACTCTTTCTGATTTTAATTGTCTTTTACTTCTCATCACTGGTGACAATCATTGCTTAAACTTTTTGTCATTCTAAATTAGAGCTGCTTCAAGTTCTCATTGTACTTGAGGTTTACAACAACAAACAACACTTGTTTCGTTACTGACGTTCAGGTCACATCACAACAGACGCTAACTGACCACAGTGCCTAAAGCTTTTGGCTAAAAAATTCCACTATTCAAATTACACTCTGGAGATAGTCGTGACCTCCATTTGTAACGGCTTGAAAAATAAAGGTTAGATGTTTCATAACTATATATTTCACTATTGTCTAGTATTAGGTTGCAAAAAATGTGGTGTGCCGAAATTCCAAGCAGTTTTCCGAGCCATCTCTCTTTTGTTGCATGAAGTGAAAGCCAAAACTGAGTGATTTGAAACAGTGGGCCCCATGAGAAAACGTTTCAATTATTTCACTTAAATATTAAGTCCTCTTCATCGCTCCCGCTTTATCATAAAGGTTATTTTAAACAGTCTAACTGCATAAGTATATAAATGAAACGTATATGTATTATGGAATGAATTTTTGTAACCAAAATGGAAAAGTTCAGTAAAGCTAGAACAAAACATTTCGCAGAATAAGGTGGATTCATTATATTTCGTCGCCTTCTTTTCAACTTCGTGCAGGCTATAAATTCATAATATATGTAGAAAGAAATACGTTGCATATAATTCACTTATAAAGAAAGGTAAGGAACGAATTGATACACATTAAGGAAGTTCAAATGAAATAATTTGTGATTACTAAAATCGAAGTTATGTTTGTGTAGTCAGACTATTACCTTGCTACATTTGATCGGTCAAAAAATGGAATAGAAAGTATAACGTAACTGTATATGATGAGTTAATAATGCAGATATAGGGTCAACCTTTTTTGCATGGTCTAAGGTCAAGTCAGTATGGGTCAAATATTAAACTCGTGGACATCAAATAGGAATTGATAGTGAAATTGGTTGTAAAAGGGGATAATAATACAGAATTTTGGAAGGGGTTAAGCCGAATGACAAAACAAATCAATAGCCACTATGGGATTTGGAGGCTAACAGCTCTCTCCATTCGGATGCATAAGTTCCGTTTAATTCTTCTGACGCCAATAAGTTCTCCGAATCTTAGTAATTTAGCACCGTTTTGCTCGTTAATTCTTTTAAATGTCTTAGGGATCTAAATATCATGTCGTGTGTCCATCACATCTTCAGTAATAGAACTTTTAAGACACTATGGCCTTTTTAAGCCTAACTTATTTGGAATGTGTTCACAAAATGTAGTCTCATTTCTCCTTTCTGTGCTTCCATGCGTGTGCTGTTACATTTGCATGTGATTTAGAAGACACAATCTGTTGTGACATGAAGCGGAGACGTGTGGACTTTCAGTTGTTGTAATGAACACTTTCTTTTGCATGCGGAAACTAATTAAGCTGCTGAGGAAGTGATTTTTAGTACAGGTCTTACTTTTCTGTTAACTCTGTTCATGAGTTCATCTCCGTTAAAAGTCATATGGAGGAACACAGAATTTTTTCTCAGGATTACCAAGTACGCTTGTTTCCGCTGTTCTCATTTTGACTTTATCTATAAATCTCTTAGGGTAACCATTTTCTCTTAACTACCTCTCAATGGAGTGAACTTCTTCAGTCAGTTCTTCTAATGAAAAAAGTTTCTTAGCCCTTTGAAATAGCAATCTAACTAGTCCTTGCTTATAACTCTAAGGAGAGAAACTGTTGAAATGGAGATACTGTCCTGGCACGACCCATCTATTCTTCGACGAAGTCCGAAACTCAAAAAATATTTTATGCTATTTTTTTGTTTCATGGTAAAATTGATGTTCACACTTGTCTTATTAAATATTTTGCCAATGTTGTCGCATGATTCATAACATTACGTAAAACAGACATGTCATCAACATACCTCTTATACATTGTAGTTTGATTGATAGCTGGCGCTAATGCAACTGACTATAAATATATCCGTAAAAATAGGTCTCAGAGGACTTCTTACTGCCATTCCATCTGCCTGGCACAATAATTTGTTGTTGAGTTGACATTGTACTTTATTAATTTGCAAGAATAGTAACTTCTTAAGTTCCGTTATAGGCATGGATATTTCATCCGAGAATTGATAGACGATATGCACTGTTTTGTTTAGCGGTATGTTAGTAAACAATGCTGATATAAGTGATGGATAGTGGCATCGACTTATCTTCGATGCTGGTTTATTAGATTTCTTGTGCAAATTCGAATGTATCTTTAAGGCTAAAGATTCTTAGCTTCTTTTGAATTGAACCTAATCGATGTGCTAACCATCAAGCCAATTTGCGTCAGGGGAAGTCGATCATAGACAGAATGAACCTGAGTGGTATATTTGGTTTACGTAGTTCCGCTTGTTCAAACATAAACGTTAAGCGTGATCCTCAAGGCTTTAGTTTTTTACACGTCTGGCTATCGATAAACTTCTTCTTTGGTAGTCCCTTCAGTTGCTTGGTCACTTTATTATCCATCAAACAGGTCCTATATTTGGTTGAACTTTCAAGAGTAAATCTAGGTTTGTTTTTTAAACTAGTTAGACTTCTTCATCATCACTACGCCGGTGCATTTATCTGGTTTCATAAGAACCACTCAATCATCTTTCTGTTTGAAGACATTATAAGACTTAACGATGGTTTTTGGTAAGAATTTTGACTGAAATGATGGCGATGTGTAATACTGGCTTGTTAAATCAACTAACCTCGACTGGAGCCAACCGTATCTGTCCTCCTTCATCGTGGTGATTGGAGGCCATCTAGTTGACTTAGAGTTTTTAAGACGATCTTGTCCTACTAGTTGAAGGAAGACGGTGACAAAACGCAAGGTCTTCTGGACGCGTACAGCAAAAATCTGAGTATGTTTGGCATGCACTTCGCACCAGTCGAATGTAAGATGATGCCCAAGGACTGACCTGCTGTGAGTTTAATTATAGGGAGTGAAGTTGTGGAATGCGCAGACCACTTCATTAACCTCCGAGGTTGTATCAGCCCGAACGAGTTGGTTGCTGACGAAACCTCAGCTCGGATTCAGAAAGCTCGTTTGACATTTGCCAACCTACGTCTCTGTGACGCAGAGTAGACAAGTGTGCTGCTTTTTACTTAGTCCTGTTGTACACCCGTGAGACATGGCCGATAAACGTAGAGGGTTTCGATCATAGGTGTCTTCGTGGCATTGCTCGCGTTTGGTGGGATCGCTGTATGAACAATGTTGAGGTCAGGGAAAGGGTACCAGACAAGATTGGCAAGTGGATTGACGAGGTTGTGAGCCTCAGTCGACTGAGATGGCTTGGACATGCACTGGGCATGCTGAACGAGCCGCCGTCTACCTCGACTTGTCATACATACTAGAGGAAGTTGGACTAGGCTGGAAGAGGGTTCAGGTTAGTCAGACGAAGACCTGGCACCAGTTGCTGAAGTCTCTTACTGTTGGTCTTGGTTATGAGAGTCGATAGAGACTGTTGTTTGGGGTACCAGTGATGAAGGAAATCAACGATTGAGGACTCTTGGTGAGATGGCTGAAAATCGGTTGCAGTGGTGCAGATGTATTCACTCTTTGACTTATTCAAAGCTTTAATATTCACACTTAACTTATACTCAGATTGATTATTCTCTCATGCTACTTCGTTTTTCTTTATGTCACTATTTTTCTATCAACTGTTCTTCGTATACCATTGTGAAGTGTGACAAGTTGAGGTGATGCACCGGTATGAGAGGTTCTACGTTGTTTTGTCAGACATTCAGTCAATCACACTGTTAAAAATTTGAAACGCTTAGTCCCTTTTGTGAAGTTCGACAATGTAATTGAAAGATGAAGTTTATCTGAATAATGTGATGTATTTACGCAATACATTTCGAACTGTCTGATCACACATTTACTTCTCAAGTCAATATATACTAAACCGAAGAGTGGGAAAACGAATACAACAATTAACACAATAGGGGATATAAATTTAGAAAGCTGAGAACAAACAGGAAATGACATAGTTGATCCTAATCTTGGTAAAATAACAAAGTTTACTAAGGTAGGTGTAGTGTAATAACAAATCGTTTCTGTACACATAAAGGTGGTTTGAATTTGTGTATGACTATGGCTTCCATAAACCTCAGTATGCGTTCCCGACCGCTTCTATATAAAACTTTGATAGCTGTTTGAACATTAATTTTGTGACCTGTTTCTATGATATGTTTAGCTACAGATGAAGAGGGTCGTCTCCCTTCAGCGTTTATCACGGCTTCACACATTTGTTTTCGAAGCCATTTAGGTACATGTTTTCCCACTCTCAACCTCATGACTCGATTACTCCTCCCTGTGTATATGTGACCGCACACACATAAATTAGTAAACACAATCGAATGTGACGTAATCATTGATGCAGTGTTTAGGTTTTTGGTGTAGCATGCGTTTTGTTTTTCCCACAATGATAGGATTAGCTGCGTAATATGTCTTCTTAATGGCTAGTGTCAGCCTACGTCTCAAAATGATGCTCCTCAATTCCCCTCTGCATGATAGAATGATGTGAACGCTTTTCTTAGAAACCATGTACAGAGTTGGCCTCGGTGCTACTTAACCCCTATTATTATGAACCCCAATCGATATCCACTTCCCAAAGTGTTTTGGTCAGTAATTTGATACCGTCATGCATCGTATCCGGTGTACTGATACAATAGATCCTATTAGACAGGCATTTTACTAGACCTCGCTCGTAATTGAATGTATATATATATATATATATATATATATATATATATATATGTTTATATATCTATGTGTATGTAGTTCTTGTAATGAATGGCAACCTTTCCTAAGTGTATTTGTTGCGAAGTTCTTCACTGTGTAAATAATTAATCAAATATGTATATGTTTATTTACAGAAGCATTTATTTAGTCTGGTAGAAAGTGACTGTTATTTCTTCGGATTAGTATTTTCCTCTTAACTGAGCCAGATGAGGCAAAAGATATACATATTATTATGATTTTTCGATGAACGACTAGTTTTCTGATTTATTTATTTCGGTTCTTTTACTGTCTATCGAATTTTGAATTTTATGTTTTTTTTAAATTTGAACCGTTATCCCTTTTTAATACATTCATTTATCATTTGATTAGTTGGGTTTGACTACATATTAATCTGTTTATCTACATATACTGGATATTATAAAACGACTCATGAAAATATAGTCATTGAAATACCTTTTGTACTTAAATATACTGTGAGTTTTACATGGTTGCACAAAGCTGAATGTCATTAATCATGTAGTGAATAAACGAATATCCAAGTTTTTGCTTATCCATGGACTGATATCCAAAGTCTCTTAATCACGAAGTATGGTAAAGAGGAATATCATGGCCCTGATAATCCATGTCATTTGTCTTACTGTTCATCGAGAAAAAATCAATAGAAAATAAGTAAATAAACAAAGTTATTCGAAAGTACCTAGGCATAAAAGTTGATAGTAGATTGGAATATTTGTGAACAGAATACACTTAATGCTTAATGACACCAAGGTCAATCAAAAAGAGACTATCATTTGACTCTCTGAGATAGCCGTAGTTTGGCAGACCCGGTGGCTGCTGGTTCGAATCCGGCTGCGGTCCAGATTTCCATCTCACCTTCAATCATCACCCAGTACAAAAAGAGACTGTCAACTCCCATGTGCAACATATAAACCCTAGTTCATCTTTTGTTTATCATAGTTCTAAACACCTCATTGAACTGATAGAAACAGCAAACAACAAATTACAACCAATACATAAAATCCCAAAGAAACCAGATCATAAATCCTTAAATAATTTTGGCTCTCCAACCAGGTAGTCATATCACATAGAATGCCAGCTATTAAACTGGGTGTTCTACAAATGACTGAAGATAATATTCAGTGACTCACTTGTTAGATGAAATGTTTTTATGTGGTTTGTCTGATGTTTCACCTTATTTACTTATAATGCTTGAAGCTCAACAACTTCACCAGCGTTGTCGATTTATTACATAGAGCACGTTCAAGCATACCACTACTCAGCTAACTATTTCGTTGTATATTATTTTCAGCCAGAAAACTTTGAGGACCAAATATTTCCGGTTTTTAATCGTCAGCCAGCTCGGTAAACCATGTGCAACCAGTATATTGTAAAGGAAGCATAACATACCATTGTATATTTCCTTTTGATGAGAAATATATTTGTATTTCCTCTTAATATTATTCGTTTACTGGGGCCACCTGGTTTAATACTCATTTAGACTGAAAACCTGAGAGGTATTTTATTGATTTTAAGAAAGGAATAAATTTTGCTGCTCTTCAACTTCATCTAGCTCATATTTCTTCTAAGTCATCCCCTCATAGTCATTCTCTTACTTTCTTTCTTGAGACATAAGGTCCCAGCTGTTATTACGTCTAATGTATGATTCATACAACCCACACTAAAATAAAACAGAATAGAAACTGGACAAAATTATATTTATTGCCACACGATTGCTTTTGGTGATTCTAATACGAAACAAGAAAAAACTAAAATCGTATTAAATATACCCACTGTATAATTAACTTTGACAGATTTCCATTCGTGTATCTATACATATATATTATTCTGTTATATATATTTTAATGCACTCATAAAAACTTCGTGTAAAATTTCTTTTTCTTTTTAGGCTATGCAGATGGTAAAATTTGTTTGTATAAAAACAAATTATTTCCAACCAATACTTGAATGGGATGTTATGTTATCACCAAGTCTGTTTAAATTGACAACATCTAGTCAGCAAGGTGATACATCAGTACCAAACTTGGAGTCAACATCGACAGACTCGTGCTCTCCTATTCTTGTTGGTGTACGTAAACTTATTTGGTTAGATACACGTAGCTCCATATTTTTCAGCTTAGACTCGTATGATCAAATCTTGATATGGAACACTGTACATATTTATAATGCAAAAAGTAATCCAGTACTAATAAATAGAGCTAACTTTAATGTCAACAGTCATAATGAAATGAAAACCAGCGTGAATGATAACAGTATGCTACTAAGCAAGATTAATGATATTTGTCTAGGTGCATTACAAGGAATGAAGTGGACCTCTACATTTTCACCGTCATCAACAAGACCTAAACTGAATCAATCACCTTGTTCTATAGTCCTTATTTTTCCACATAAGATCAACCTATACTGGATTACATCACTTCGAATGAATGAGTTAGTGGATGAAATCTCCTCACTTTTGAAGATGGTAAACAGCTGTAATGAGTTCACTTAGCTTCATTTTTATCAGCAAAGAAGTTTCTGTATTTTTGGACATTCCACTTTTAATTTGATCTGTAATTTTTTCACAGTTTCTTTGTTTCTACTATTCTTTACCGCGTTTGATTTCTCAAAAGATTTTGTTGAACTGACACAGCGTACAAAATAAAGTATGTGAATCAACTGATTAACATTTGCCTTCTATCTATAAAATAATTATGGCGAGTGAAAATACTACCCGCTTGGTTGTATGAACAAAATATTGCAGGGCAAAACTTTCGGGGTCCTTTTTAAAGTATTTTCATGACAACAATAGTGGTTGCTTCAAGATATATGTTGAAAAGGAAGCCTTCTACACTGGACACTAAAATTAGCTGAAATCAAAGCCTCTAAAGATTTTTTAGTTTACTCCCTTGACTTCCGAACTGTATACCAGTTGGAAAGAACAAAAGAACCAGACTATTTATATGGTCGAATAAGCAACTTGAAAGAGTTTCACGTAAAGGAACAGTGATTTTTTGATGTTAACATGTGGAGAACAAACAGAAAAATTCAATTAAAGAACCTTGTTGATTGTACAGTCAAAACAAAATACAGCTTGATAGATATTAGATTCGAAATACTTTTCACATTCACCTGTAAGACTAATGGCAAACTGATAGAATTCAAAATCTTAATTTCTAAAATTGTTGCTGTTTCTAGCGATGAAAGTTAATTACTAAAGTTGATCCCAAACTTTACCGAATAATTAGAACTCCATTTCTCATTTTTTAGTTTTCATCAGTTATTTTGTGGATTGTTTATATTTCTAGTACTTAATCTTATACTTCTGATCAGCTACTCTAGTTGTGTAGCGATTTTGTAATTTCATCTTGAAAGGATTAGAATGTTATAAACAATTTTGACGGTTATAGAAGCAGAAATAAGGATTCCTTGGTTGATGGCAATGTGGTGTTGAAAGATGACAACTGAAGTTGAGACTATAACCCAGTAGAAAGCTAACATGGTTGCTTCTAAGTACCCGCTTTTTCCAACATAAATTTAGTCCATTATTTCAAAATTACCTACCCGCCTAATTACATCAAAAGGATACAGAGAAGCACCACTATTTAGTTCTTTAGAAACGTAAGAAGAGGACTATCTACAGTCCCGTAATTTCTGTTGTTAAACAAGGTAATAAAATCTTCAATTACTTCAGAATAATTATCAAATAAAACAATCTCTAAACATATAATTTTGCAGCATCAATAACTATAAAGAAGATAAGACGAAGACTTTGGGTTCAGATGATGGTTCTAATTAATCCTCACCTTTCTTTAAAAGTTTAAGGACTTTTTTCTAAGTTAAAATGCTTTTATTTTCTATCCAAATTTCTTTGCTCTTTTCAGCTTATGTATAATTGATAAGGTAACCAACATAGGCTTTATCATGATATTATTTTCGATTGTCGTTTTATTTTGGATTTACAGTATATACGATTTCTATTTTGTATCTACAGTGTAAGCGTACTTTACGAGTGACTCTAGAGGTCACCATACTAACAGCTTAGTTTTCTTTATTTTGGGTAGACAAGCAGTATTTTTGTAAAACAGGGAAATTCAGTTGAATATTTCATTGGTTGCTAGGGTGGCTTTTACAGTCACTTGTAATTACTGACCAACAAAACCATTTTGGTTCATTTCTGACATCACCAAAACGCCACATCGACCATCTGAGGATGTTTATATATATATATATATATATATATATATATATATATATATATATATATCAGATACATTTCTACATAAGCTTATTACTATGAGCGGTTACTTTGTTTGTTTTTCCCCTATCACTTCTTAATGGATGGTAATTTATTCAACCTGAGCCTGTAAGTAGCTGAACTGAAGTCGAAAGAATAAGAACCGATTTGTTTAATTGTCCTGGTTTTATGAAAATCCCAGGATAAATTAGATGAAAAGTGGAATTATGTGAGATTCGTGTAGTTATACTCATGATAATTCATCAATGGATTGAATCTTATCATGCCAAAAGAAGCTAATTTACTGAAGTATGCTGCGTTAATTGACCATAATCAGTGTCTTTTAAATCAAGAGCGCGCTGGATAGTTGAGCGTTTTCGTTTACTTCGTGTTTAGATTACGTGGCCTCTGAAACTTAAGTAGATAAGAATTTCATAAAGTTCTAGCCGTTTATGTCATTAATACTCATTCAGTTTGTTGGTAATGACGACGTTAGACATAACTTTCAAAGCAAAAAAACAACTTACGTGATAGAACTGTAAAATTCCAGCATGTGATTTTAACGACCTAAAATATCTTTGCACACTGAAATGACGTACAGCGGTAGTAGAATTAGATTTAAGAAGGTGTAAACTTGGTCGATAAGTGAAAATGTAATGGCAATCCACTGAGGAAAATGCTGTTACACCGAAACCCATAGTAGGCTGCTAGCATACTGGATAAAAATATGAAAGATTTGATAAATCTGTGGTTGACAACCATAAGCAAGTGGACTAAAGAAAAACTAGAATGAGGAATATGCGTTGACAGTTAATGTTGCTGAAAATCTGAAAGCAATGGACAGGTGTCTCATCCTGAACTGCTACTCTCTACCAGTGCTCATCAATACCTCTGCGAAAGACTGAACCCAAATCCATCAGGTTTAATTGAGAATACATTGCCACCATTTCTTATTTGTATCACGAAGTGTCACAAGACGACCATCGTTCACTGTCACGGAGGTTAGCATTGACCTCAGTCCTAACTTGGTTCATGTTATACTCTTGATCTTACGATGCGAGCGATGTTACTAGTTTTAACTCCGATTACTCCTACCAAGTGATTCTAAAGTTCACTTTAGCAGCCACTGAAATAACCAGTCAGGTTTCTTTATTTTTCCTGGAAAAGTAGGTTTTTATAAAATAAGTAATACTGATTGGCTATTTTATAAGTTGTTATGGGGACCTTTTAAGTTACTCTTATTTACCTGACTCGAAGAGAAGACAGATGCATTCTAATTGCTTCCGATCAATAATTATATATTTGACGAAGTATATGGAAAATGCGTGAGTGGTTTCGAAAATCACTCTAGCAACCACTAGAACAACCAATTAGGTTTCTTCATTTCAGTTGAGAAGGTAGTCCTGCGTGATATAAGAAAGCCTAATTGGTTATTTTGGTAGTTGTTGAGGTAAGAGTTGAAGTCACTCAAACTTAACAGGTCTTAAAAAAAGTGACGACAACTGAAATAACCAATTCGACCTCTCGATTTTATGAAAACCTACCTTTCCAGCCAAAATGAAGAAATTAAAATGCTTATTCCAGTCGTTTCTAGGATGACCTTTGAAGTGCTACCTCAGAAACCAAGTTACTCAGACGGCCACCCTAACGACAAATGAAATGACTAATCCACTTTCTCAATTTGATCCAGAAACTTGGTTTTTTCGGAAAATATATAAGCCTGACTGGCCATTAAATTAGTTGCTAGAGTGGCTTTAAGACACTCTTTAATTATGTATCTGATACGTCAAATGGTGCCTAACGGGACTTGACTACTTTTGCAGAATTTTCTGACTTTGGGTTACCCGGAAATTTGACCACACCTTGTTTACAGATAATCGAAGTCATGTAACATTGTACCAACGGGAGGTTCGATTCATTTCATCGTTTATTTCCCCCCTGTGAGTTAATTTCAGAGTTAACTTTAAAGACTGTCCTGGTAACAACTAAAACAGCAGATGAAACTTCTTTATTTCAACTAGAAATGCAGGTTATCATACGATGGAGTCTAGTTATTTCCCTTGTCACTTAACTTTCAGAAACAGTTGGTTAAGGCTTTTTGACAACTTTTAATTTACCATACCAACTTTATATAGTACGTTGCTTGTCTCCTTTTTTTATTTCTGTAGCCTTCTAATGTAATTTTTCAAGTTGGAGTATGCGGCCAAGAAACGCTTTTTCAATTGACATATGATTTGTTGTCAAGGGTTTTGATTTCGATCTAAGGATAGGCAAGACTTGTAAAGTATTTCTTCGATATCAGTTAGAGGAGTACTGGAAACCTGGAGGCACTAGACAGCTGTTTCAACTTAGTATGAGACTCCTTAGCAGTGCGCACCCATGACCCCGCCAGGGGTCGAAACCAGGACCTTCAGGTTCCTTGGGGTTATGGGTGCACACTGCTGAAGAGTCCCATACTAGGATGGAAAACCTACTCAGTGTCCTCAGGCTTCCAGTGTTCCTCCAACTGATGTCAGTCCGTGACGAATTTATAACCTAAAATCAATTAATAGACCTCCACAAGCATCCAGATAGAATTTCTTCGATTCTAACCATTATCCGTAATCTTAACAAAACTCTTTTCAAACTAACTACAAAACTTTCAGCTTGACCACTAGATTAACAGTGGACTGGTGGTGCATGATTTCTATTTAATCCATTGGCTATGCAAAAATCTAATGATTTCTGAAAT